ACTCATCCTGGTGCTCTTCGAACCACGCACGTACACTGGCAGCTGTATGGCACCTCGCATTGTCCTGCTGGAAGATGCCATCATCCTGAGGAAAAACAATGCGCATGTAGGGGTGAACATGGTCCACAAGGACAGATGCGTACTTGTATTGATCCATTGTGCCTTCCACAATGATCAGTGAACCTAGAGAATGCCAGGAAAACATTCCCCAGACCATAATGCTCCCGCCTCCAGCTTGGACCGTTCCGGCAGTGGTTGCAGGGTGGTTCCTTTCAGAGGTTTCACGCCTTATACGCCAACGTCCATCTGTCCGATGGAGCATAAAACGCGATTCATCCGAAAACGCAACCTGTCGCCACTCAGTGGATGTCCAGCTGCTGTACTGGCGTGCAAATTCTAGCCTTCACCGTCGATGAACAGCAGTCAGCATAGGTGCACGAACCAGGCGTCTGCTTCGGAGGCCCAGACGCAGCAATGTTCGCTGAATAGTACTTTGGGAGACACTTTTGATAGCCCCTTGGTTCATTTTGGTGGTCAGTTGCTCAACGGTAGCCCGTCTATCTGCCCGAACGCATCTCCGCAACCGTCGTTCGCCTCTGTCATCTATGGCCCGTGGTGCACCACATTTGCCACGTCGCTGATTTTGGACAGTCCCATTTTGCCATGCACGGTACACTTTTACCACGGTGGCACGCGAACAGTTCACAAACTCATCCGTTTCGGAAATGCTTCCACCCTTGGCCCGAAAGCCATTGATCATGCCCTTTTGGAAGTCTGATAAATCGCTTCGTTTCTGCATTACGCCAACGATTGAAATGTTTTCCGAAGCCCTCACACACCCTTTATATACGCTCAACTGCACTGTGCTGCCACCTGCCTTCTGTGATTGGTTATTTAACTCTGACATGGAAAGTACGTGGTGGTCACATTAATGTGACTGGACTGTGTAAGTTTAAATAAAATGCAAGAAAAAATGCGTATAATTTAATATTCCGTACAAGGAAGTCGTGGTGTACACATCAGATTTTTTTTATGTGCTTTGGTGTGTACTGTTGGTTTTGCTGAAATTTATCCACTTTGCATAAATACTAACAACGATTGATCATGAACAACCTTCTAGTCATGCAGTTTTGGATATACTCTTTCCAAGTCTTTGGACCATTACTATCTGCCGTCTATCAAATTTGCTTAGATCAATAGCCTTTCCCATCAATCACACAAGTACAAGAATGATTCCTTACCTTCTCCAAAGCAGCAGTTAAATACTATTCCCATTTAATCACATGCCCTTCACATCATCCATATGAGGTCATTGAAAAATGTGGAGATTTTTATAATGTTTTCACATGTCAGTGTCTATATATATGGTATTTTGTTATATGCAGTGTAGCTGTACTTTCTACAAACTGCTTTGCTTCTAATGAAAATGTACAAATATTGATTTTGCATTCATTTAATGTGTGTAGTAAATAGTAAATTTTTAACATTCAACAATTTTTAAATTCATGAGTATTTTTTCACCTAACTTCTTTATATCTTTTTTTTTTTTTTTCCCTTACACTTCAAGTTTTATGCCTGGTTTACAATTAAATGAATTATATCTTTATGTAATCACTGTTCTAGAATATATGTCAAAAACTTATCCTCTCGTTAAGTTTGTGCTTTTTTTTGTAGAACTGTTAGTAAATAAGTTCTTAGAATGTGGTTGAAAGTATGCATTATTAGTTGATAGTGACTAATAGTTATTTCATTATTCAAACTTTGGCAAATTTTCAATAAGAAGTTAAAGAGACCTTTATATTAATTTGCTTTGCAGCAAGGAATTTTTAAATTAATTTTAAGATTTTATTTGTGCAATCATTTATGTTTGGCATTGTACTTTCAAATTTTGCATGTTAATATTCAATTTTCTAAATGAAATGCCTAGAGAAATTTTGTCTGTAAATCATTTATGTATAATTTAACTAGAAGTATAGTAATTCCTTGCTAAACATAGATTTTCTTAATGCAATTTTGCACATATTCATTATCTTAATCTTCTCCATTTAATTTGTCTAACATGAGAAATTCAATTATATGTGTTACACTGCAAAACATTGGCTGTGTTGCAACTATCCTCTTTAAATATTGGTTTGAAAAGTCATTCTTAAGGCAAATCTTACTTAAAACAGCAAAACCTAAGTTTCTAAATTCTCCTAATTCTCTATAATGCTCCAGAACATGTCATCCAAATGTAGAGATTTTATTCTGTCTACCGAATGCTACTTCGTTAATCCAACTTAAAGATCAAGGAATCATAAAAACATTCAAAGCTTCTTGAAGCAGGCATGTGTACATCTCTGTACATGAAGCACTAGATAAAGGAAAGCATGACACAAATAGCATTTTGGAAGCAATTCCAAGAAAGGTACTGCATATAAATGATTATACGTAACCGCCACTTTTTTACTTTCTTGTATGAAGTAAAGGAAGTATTGTAATCACGAAAAATTCCGGGTACCATATTTCAGTGAAAATAATCATTTTGACCGCTGTCAAGTGCAATTTAATGATGCTTTTGCCTGACATCTGTACGTAAGGACAGAATAAGGGACTCTTTTCCCCAAAAAAGTTATAAAACTAATTTAAAATGGATTCAGAAGAGATTTTTTTCGTGACGTCTATATGTATACACAAATGTAGGTATGTATCTCGCATAACTCAAAAACGAGTAGCCTCAGAAGGTTGAAATTTTATATATAGGACTGCTATAGCATGTAGTTGTGCACCTCCCATTTTGGGGGCAATCAGCAGCCCCAAAAGTGTATAAATATATATATACGTACACACCCAATCTGTTTCTCAGCTTATTGTGCTCAGATTTTTTATTCTTATGTGTTGGTAAATTTTGCATTTTTTTGCTTTAAAAATTATTGAATTATGTTATTATTAATCTTCCGGTTAAGGTTTTTTATGCCTTTAGTTAACTTTCATACAATAGTTGTAGAATTAGCAACTGTAACCAATCCTTTAACATAAACTGTTGACTAACTGTGACAACAAGGCTGTGGAGAGTAGCCAGAAAGTTAATTAAAAGTACTTCAGTAAAAGCCAAGTGTCCCACTTGATAAGTTATACCAGACTCTTGCTCTGTAATTTTTATTAAAGTTAAATGTAATGTCTGTGTGTAACTTAAACCTGTTAATAAATACTTGTTACACTATACAGGACTTTTCTATGACCCTATCTAAAATGACCCCCCCACACACACACATACACAACAATTTAAAAGTTGTTTAAGTGTGGCTAAGCCTAACTTTTTTACCATAGCTAGCCATATTTGTTTACATTTTAAACTTAGCAGAATAGTGGATTTGTTGCTAATCTTAAGAAACTAAGCATCGCGTCAACAAAGATAGCATCTTCTTTTTATTATTGCAAATTAAATCATGCTTAGTCCATTCTGGAATTATCATTTAAGTTATTAAATTATCCCATATATTGACTCAGCATAGCGTCAAATTAAGTCAGTTTCTACACCTTCAATGTCTTTTTGCTGAGTGAGACCAAAATTAAAATTTCTGTTTTGTGCACTGAAAAATCTGCCTTCTAGCCCACTGACCGGATTGCTTGTTTTTGCATAGAAACTCTAATTAAAAAGTTTTCTTTAAATTGTTTTAACTGTATGTATGCTTTATATTTCTCAATTTTTAATAAAGATATTTTAAGGTTTCATATATTTTTGTCTTGCTGCAAAGTGAAAATTGAATTAATTTAATGAGAAATATATCTTTAGTGAAATTTGATGAAATAAGTTTAAACAAAATGCAGGAAAAAGTACATTTAATTTAATATTCCGTACAAGGAAGTCGTGGTGTATACATCAGATCCCCCCCCTTTTTTTTGAGAGAAAGAGAGAAAGTTTACTTTGCGGAATACAATTTAGGCATATGCTCAGTGTATTAATAATGTACACCCACATTCAGCAAGAGATTTTATAAGGTGTATTTCATTTTATAGTTGCTGTTAAATTTCTTATTAGTTTAATATTTTCATCAAGACAAAATGTATAATTATTTAATGAAAACTACTTTTGTACCATAGTCAAACTCTGGGTTAGTTTTATATAATAAAGCCACAGGTAAAAGAAATGAAATTTGACATTTCATTGAATTTCCTATATGTATAATATCATTTTATATAACCTCCAAATATGCAAAAGTTAGATATAATTAATTGTTTCCAGAATTTCTACAAGTGCTAATTAAAAAATTATAAATCCTAAAAATGTTCTATGTTTTACTTTTCTGACAAAGTCCATGTGAAACAGGTATACCACCTTATTCTTATAGGATTAAAATACATAATAACATTATATAATAAGCATATTTTATTATGCATATAAATTCATCATTTCATACTTTAGGAAGCAGGAAAATGCTTTTGTTGTACATTAGGTAAGGAAGATTCGTGATAAAATGATCTTTTATAAAAGCTGAAGCTTGTTATTCCTTCTTTCATATAACCCTGTTCAACCTGCATTGTTAAAAACTTAGTGAAGGAAAAATTCATCCGTTTGGTGAGCTGTAACCTTGAAAGTTTCTGCATCGCAAGATAGTATCTAGCAGAAATAAAATTTATCTCAATATGCAATTGATAACATCTGGACAAATTGATTCATTAAATTATGCTTATGACAATGGGGGAAGACATAAAAGTTGATGGAAGTGAACATATGGATGTTAAAGAAGCATTATCGAAATGGCTCACTATTTTAAGGATCGTTAATCTGCCAGTATCCAAACAAGTATTTCAAAAGGCTAATAAATTTGTTAAACAGTTTGAAGAGATTGACTGCATGCAATAATATTATAAATGTTTTTACTAATTGCCTGATTTAATACAAATATTTTAGGGTATGAGATGTAAATTCTTTGTGTATATTTTAATTTAGAATAGCTTTCTGCATTTGTTATGTATTTGTTAATAAGTTAGTTCTTAAATTCCTTTTTCATTTTTAGAAGACCTAGGACCAAATCTGTTACAACGAACGAATTCTGTAGGAATGGTGAATGGGTGGAAAGGAGGAAGTTTACCATATGTAGAACAGACAGATTCTGCTGCAAGTAGCCCTAGGTAGTTTTTTTTTTCTATTACTTGTTCTATGAAGAAATTTTTATTTTATGAGCTGTTTAAATATATAAACTGAATTTTAAAGTAAATTCATTTTAAATGCATATGCATCTTATAAAATCGGTAATTGAATTTAAGTTGATGAAATTTAAATTTGGCTTTGCTTCTGAGCTTTTATGCTGATTTAATAAAATTTTTACTCTTCAAATGCCAGAAAAGGGATAGCTTGACTGCTTTATGATTTTTGAAAACAATTGATGTAAAATTTTAGGTAATTGTATTTCTCATGTAATTAATAAGGTTAGAAGTACAGAATAAAATTCATTCATTTGTTGTGTTAAGCTGTGTAAAGTTCTGTTCTGTATGGCCTTAATTTAGTTTGCTTAAAATTAAATTTAAGGCTCAGTGGCACAGTGGCTAGCGCATTGAGCAGCAGCACCACAGGCCTGGGGTTCGAATCCCAGGCTGGGCAAGGTCGACTCAGCCTTTCATACCTTGATTTCCATCATTTGGGTCGTTAAAATGAGTACCAAGTTTGCTTGGGAACTAAACACTGGGGGGTCCTGCGACATGCTGACCACTTGTTCAGGGCATATGCTTACGCACCCTAGGGCCCACAGTCAAGAAAGCAGATATCGGGCATTGCAGGCCTTGGCCCATTAGGGCTGTAACGCCACTGAGTTTAGTGTTTTTTTTTTTTTTTTTTTTTTTTTTTTTAATTTAATTTATTAAAAATATAGTCCTGAATTCTGAAATAATGAAGCATTATTGATTGAAAGCGCCTCAAAATTTTAAAAGAAAAAAATGAGCTTAATGTTCATTTTATTAAACATGATTTTTTTTTTTTTTTTTTTTGTGCTAATACCTTCTCTTTAATGTTATAGACATACATAATTTTTTGTTCAGGTACAAAGAAGGTTCAGGTTTTGTTCAAGTCCTGTAGTTGCTGTGTTGAGAATAGCAACTAACTTGTCAATCGAAATTTTTTCATTTTCAGTAACAGATTTCGTTGTCATTAATTGATTGATGGTCATCTTCATTTATTATCACTTTTCCATATTTCTTCACAAAATCCATTAATTGGAAAATTTCACCATTGTTTGCGATATCTGAAAACTTTCCTATTCGCAGCTATCATCTTCGTCATGAAATATGGTAGCTGGTCATAAATTATGCCAAACATTTTTTAAAGTATCTGGAGACACATCCTCCCATGATCTTGCAATGCTCCACATAGCAGATTGTATGCTAAAATATAGAGCTGGCGTAAATGATTCATTCATTTTGAAAAAGCTATATTTTCAAATGGATTATGCATATACACATGAAAAATGAAAAGAACCACAAACTCACCAAGTTTCCTGGATAAGTGGAACATTGCTTCATTGCTGAATATCAACTTGGTGGCAAAATCTTCGTTTTTCAATGTTTCCTACATGTTGACACAAAAATCTAGTCGACGAGTGTAATCCTCCGGTTTTAATTGTTGCAGGAGCTACACATGGTACGGTTTGAAGTGCAACTATTGACATAAATCTTCCACACAATTTTTTACGATATTCATAACATCTGGTCAATTGATAGGATGAACATCTGGACAACAATGCTACAGAACGTATGGAATGAGCTTGATTATCGTCTGGATGTGTGTCGTATTATCAAAGGGGTAAATACTAAATATTTGTAGAGGGTGTATAAACTTGGTGAGTTTGTGGTTCTTTTCATATGTTTGTCATGTGTATACATAAAATACTTTTGAAAATATAGCTTTTTCAAAGCGAATGAGTCATTTATGCTAACCCTGTATTTCAAAAATTCTGGAATAGTCTTGCTATTATTCAAGAAATTTAACATGGATTTTAAAAATGCTACACTCACTTCCAAAAGTTAAGCACAGAGAGGAAAATGCTAATTTCTGAAAGCCAATCAGAATTGAAGAGGATGCAGTTTGCTGCAGAGGTAGATAGATGGAAGTATGCAGATATGTTGGGTAACAGCCAATCGCGCTTTCATGTCAAGAAATATACAAAAAAGGCAGTCTTATAAGAAGCCATCTTTATGAAGGGTTACAGAAGTTGATTGTAAGTGCTGATAGAAGGTGTTTAAACTTTCATACAATTTGTTTTCAAGACATACGTGTTTCTATGATTTCCAGAAGACGAATGGAAGATTCTGAGCGCTGGCGTGCTGTGGGGCGCATTGAAGCAGGACAGTCAATCACAGATGTTGCTCTTTTCTTCGGCGTTCATCATTCTGTAATTTCACGTTTATGGAAACAATTCCAAACCACACAGATACAGAGGCTGTTCGCACATTTTTTAGACGATGTATATTGTATTCACAAAACTAAATTACATAAAATTCTTTTGTTTTAAATGTTCTATTTGACATTCCCTATTATGAACTATCTTTTGACACCGCAATTTCCAGGATAATAATGACTTTTGAAGTGGCAGAAGAGATTTTCTGTCACATTCCTCCCGAACAGCTTTCCAGAGTACTGTTAGAGTTTTGGGATAGCGTTTAGATAATGCAGTTTTTAAAAGTCCGAAAGCCCAAAAATCCATAGGTGACACATCGGGAGATTTAGTAGGGATATCAGTGAAGGGTATGGCCTTGATACCAGTTTTTTGTTCCATTTCTTTTAGGAAATTTACAGTGGATTTTGATGTGTGACTGCTAGCTTTGTCCTGATGGAGTTTCACAGATTAATGGCACTGTGGGTAAAGCAATGGTATTTCATTCAGAAAAATTGGCAATAAAATATGTTTCTGATAGTATTTGAAGTTAATCTTGACTTTTTTTTTTTTTTCACTCTCTTTATTTTTAACTTGCCATTATAAGAAAAACCCAGCAACAATCATGAATCCCTTAGAAAAACTTTCTTTTGATTCTTTGAACCATGTACTTAAATTTTTTCTCCCCTTTTATGATAATAAATGGCTCATTTTTGTTGTTAAAATCATTTAAATACACCCATGCTTCATCTATTGTGACAATTATTTCCTTTTTTTTTTTTTTTTTTTTTTTTTGGATAAGTGTTTCTCGTATAGAATTCAGCAGCGTGTCCTGCGTTGAGCGATATGCTTTGGAAGAAGACGATGCACATTGCGTTTTTTCGCTTTCTTAAGATTTAAGTCAATGTTTATCATTTTGTTTACAGTGGACACCGAGCATTTTAATGATTTTGCAATTGTCCTTTGACTAGGGGGATTTTCTTTTAACATTAAACAACGTACTTTTGCAATAGTTGAAGATGTCCGTTTTTTCCTTGGATACTTGTTTGGAATTTTTGTCCCACCTGAGGCTCCAATTTGAAGTTTTTTTCCTTTCTTGTTGATGATATAACCTATCGATGCTTTAGATATCACAAAACTATGACTCTCACATCATTTTTGAATAACAGAGTATGCATATTTCTCTTCGGAAAGAGCGTAAATGTAGCCTTCGAACCACTGCTTTGTTAAATTCGCCATTTTGAATAAAAACAAAACTATCAAGCCACAGATGATAATTTTGACTTTTAAAAACATAGTACAATTGCAATTACTTCTTTTGCAGCAAACAATTTTTTATTCCCGCTTACCAAAATCATCTAAAAAATGTGCGAACAGCCTCTGTAGTTGTCCAAAGGCCCGTAGCTGGTCGCCCAAGGGTTACAGCACTGAAGATCGATATATTGCTATTGTAGCCAAGCGGAATTGCAGAGTGACCTTCACACGTATGACATCTGTGGCTATAGCGTCCATTGGGAAGGCGATATCTGCAGCTACTGTACGCCGAAGATTACATATCAGTGGACTGTATGCCCGGATACCTTGCGTTTGTGTTCCTCTATCCGTCCAATCAAGAGGGGCACTATTACAATGGTGCCGGGAACATGTCAATTGGAATGTGTTTGAACTGAGGCAATGTCATGTTTACTGATGAAGCAAGATTTGCTCTGTAGCTAGATGACAAGCGTATAAGGATATGGCATGAACAACGAACGCGCAATCAGTCCCAAAACATCACCGAACATTGCATCACGCATTCTGAGGCGGAAGCATAATGGTGTGGGCAGGGATTTCATTAGGATAGCGCACCGACCTGGACATCTTTAAACGGGGTTCTTCAACGGCTGTCCGGAATGGAGATGAAGTCCTAGAACCATTGTGAGAATGTACGCTGCAGCAGTTGGCCCTTTTTTTGTTTTAATGGACAATAACGCACGTCCCCATAGAGCTGACATCGTCGATGACTACCTGGAGAGTGAAGGGATTGCACATATGGCATGGCCAGCATATTCGCCTGACCTTAATCCCATTGAAAATCTTTGGGATGCTCTCGGCCGTGCTGCATCTTCACGTTTCCCACCTCCAACCACTTTTATTGAGCTGGAAACTGCTCAACAAGAAGAATAGCGATTGCTTAACTCTGCAGTTGTTGACCACCTAATTGAAAGCATGGTCACAAGGTGTAAACTTTGTATACAGATGAGGGGGGGATCACATACCCTATTAATGTCTTTTTTTTTTTTTTTTTTTTTTTTTTTTTTTCATTTTATGCTGTTTATTTTCACTTTGTACATAATTCTGTTTAAGTCTCCAGTATGTCATTATCTGATAACTTACAAAAATTTAATATTGTTTTCATTTCTGTATATAATTATTGATTTTGTTTTATGCATGAATATGTATGCTACTTTCCTGCTGAATTTTGTGTCAATCAAAGCAGTATTTGTTGATTTTTTTTATTTTTTTGCATTTTACATCTTCGTGCTTAACTGTTGGAAGTGAGTGGACTTTATATTTGCATTTCAACGTGCACACTATTCCAATATTCATAGGCTGTATGGTGGGCGTAAAGGTTGGAAAAAAGAATAATACTTATACATTATCTTTCACTTAAAGTAAATGAAATATGAGCCAAACGGTTATCTACAGTCAGGACAATTTTTGCATCATCAGCTAAACTGAGCAAATTCAAATTTTGTCTAGCCTCGGGTATGAAATGATTTTCAAACCAATCATTCATTAATGCTTGTGTCATCCATGCTCTTTTATTTGCACAATATATAACGGGGAAAATCTTTCTCCTTTAAATGCTTTAGGTGATATTTTTTCCGATTACAAAAAGTTTACACTTGTGCATTCCTGCAGCATTTGTGCATGCTAAAATTGTTAGTCTCACTTTGGAATCTTTGACATCACTTGGAGTCTTTCCTGTAGAGGTTGACAAGGTATTTTGCCAGGAAAGACCAATTTCGTCAGCATTGTAAATTTGTCCTGGAGATAACTTTTTACTATCAATGAGTTCAATGAATTCATCTGCAAATAGTTCAGAAGCTTCAGTATCAGCTGAAGCTTTTTCGCCTGAAATTTCTTATTGCCTTATAACATGGTGATTTTAAAATTTAGTTAACCAACCAGTCGAATATGTGCACTGAAGATTTAAGTTTATTTCTTCATGAAATATTTTGGCTTGAGCCATTAGCATTAGATGTCAATGGCATGCCCTCGCTGCAATGCTGTCTGGCCCATTCAATCATCACTTTGTCATGATCATCACTTTTAGCATAGCGAATAAATTTTCTGTTAATCATTTCAATTGGGCTGTTGGAATCCACAAAAAAATTCCTTTTTCTATTATGTCATATACAGTTGACTTTGCAATGACATACTCCTCACATAATTTTGAGACGAATATTACCTATATCCTTTTTTTTTTTTTTTTTTTTTTTCCAGCAGTTCCACTTTTTGTGTAATGGACATCAAAACATTCTTTCGCTTTGTAGATTGGGTTGCAGCTGTAGAATTAGAAATTCTTTTCCACATAATTGAAAGTTCAAACTTTAATTGTCATAAAAATCCTGTAATAATAACAGCCTGCAAAAAATAATAAGTTGGATCAAATCGGAAAATTAAGAAAAAACCCCAATCTGCTATATTAAATGAAATTCCTTGGAATCAGTATAATTTTAGCCTAGCTTAACAGTGTCTGCTATACATTATTTGTTATGTAGCATGAAATTAGCGATGACAGACAAGTTGTTCTGTTAAATTTTGTCTTCCTCTTTCCAGACAATTAAGCCTGAATTGTATTAACTTAGTTATTTTTTATACTTACATCTATTTCTTGCACATGCTTAAGACTTATCCGAGTTGTGAATAGTACTTAAGCTTACTTAAGCTTACATATACTTAAGCTTACGGAGGGCTGGCGCTAGATATATTACCTCCTGAGATAGTTTATTGCCTGATCTGCAGGTCCTAAATTCTGCCTAATTTCTAAGTTTTTGCCGCTCCTAAATTTTGGGCCCCAGTTCTTTTCCTAAATTCTAAAAATCTTGTCATCACTTAATTTTGTTACTTGGTGCTTCTCTGAATTCCAAAAATTTTGTCTTTCCTAAATTCTGCCACCCAGTGTGGCCATACGAGCTCTGTCCCCGGTTCTAGGTTTATGTGAATAAAAAATCCATTATTCTTAATTCAAATCGCACTAAATGTAATCTTTTTGCCTATGAGTATGATTAACAACATGTATTATGTAAAGAAATTTTTGTTAAATTTTTCCTCGTCAAAATTTAGCACATTTAACTTAAATCTGTAATCATAACCAAGTGTAATGTCAACATAAAAGGTTACCATCCTCTTTATTATTAAATTACTAATATAAAAAAATTTTTTAACCATTGCTGCATGAGTCATTACTCAAGTTGTTATGTGTTGATAAACATGTGGTGATGAAAGCAAAATATACTAAATAATGATTCGCCAGGTTGGCATCAGGAACTGTGAGTATAAGTTGGCCTTGGTAAAATCAATGATGTTTCTATGTAGAATGTTTCGGTTTGAGATGTATGCCAAGCAGATATGCAGCTACAGAACCAAATTATTGATCATACAAATTTATGCTAAAATGATTGTCTTCAATGACGAGGTATTTTATTTAGTGAAGAAGTGAGGTTAAGAATCGGGACCCTCCACATGTTTTATTATGGGGGGAAAATCAAATGTGCATGCTTAAAGCATAAAAAAATTACTAACAAAATTTTGTTGGTGGCTTTAAGCTCCAGATTTTAGATCATTCCGGATATTGGACATCTGGATCTCGGACTTTGTACTGTATAAATATTATATCTATTACATTACCTCATGACAGCACAATAACATTGCCTTGAGTAAACATCCAAAATTTGATTCAAAGGGGGGGAATCATATTGAAAGTATTGCTGGTTAAAATGAACCAAAACAGTAAGAGTCTACTGTAAGAAGAGTAATGGCTAATGGAAAACGTAAATTTATTATTAACAGTTTTTCTAGCATTTTTGAGAATTTACTTTTATTGTAAGTTATAATAAAGTTCTCCTCCCTTTAGGCATACCAATCTGGAAATGTCAAGGCATACTGTAGAGGGTGAGAGTTCTAGTAGCAGTATATCACAGCCTTCTGCTGCAAATGCAGAAGATTCATCTCTACCAAGGCGGTTGACTCGTTCATCAAGAGATGGCGCTGGTGTTCAAAAATCTCCTCCTAGAGAAAGCACAGGATTTGGTCTTCGAAAGAGCAGTGAAAGTAGTTTGCATGCACTTCGGCCTGATGGTGAAATAAGTTTGTTGAATGGATTTCAAGAACAAAGGAGAGGGAGAAGAAGTCTAGAAGAATATTATAGTCATCTTGCAAGTGGGGATGGGCCATTACGTTCTGTCTCTGCTTCAAATATCACTGAAAATAAATCTTGGAAATCTAACAATGAAAAATCATCTCCGAAGAGTTTTGGAGGTGAAAGTGTGCCAGGATCATCTAGTTCTCAAAGCTCAGGAATTTGTTTGAGTGATGTAGATACAAAACACAATTTCTCTACCACAAGTTTTGCTCAACTTTCAAAGTTGAGGGACCCAAACAGTAATTCTATCAGTATTGTATATATGCCTCATGAAAGAGATGTATTAGAAAAAGAGAAATTTTCTGTTAAATCTTCTAATGCTAGAAGAACTGATGGTGAAGGTAAAAAAACAACCTTTGCTGCTTTACCTAATACAACAACATGGCAGCAGCAACGTGCAGCTAATATCAACTTTCCTCAAACAGATTCTGGGCATGAAACTCCAACTGAATCAGGTGATAACTTATTAAATGTGCAGCTGTGTGATATTCGAATGAAACTTGAAGAAAAGAAACGAAAAATTGAGCTTAAAAAAAAGCGTATGGAGCTATTGTGGAAAAAGCAGCGTCAAAAATTAGGCAAAGCAGCTTTCTTGCAAGCTGTTAGTAAGAATGCTGGTATTGATGCAGGAACACCTGATAGTGGAACTGGTAAAGAAGTCTGTGGAGCAGAATATCCTCAGTTGAAAGAAACAGCTGCTATTGCTTCCCCTACTCTGGTGAAACGGATGTCTATGCAAGAAATTGCAGAAGATTTAGACAATGTGCAGAAGAAGTGGTTAAACCAAAATGATACTGTTGAACAATTAGCCTTGCAAGATATAACTGTAGAACCTAGTTTGGACTTCATTAGTGATGTTGATACTGAAAATTTAAATATTGATCTTCAGACTTCTATCGAACACCTAAATACTAGTCTTACTGATTTGCAAGCTGATATATCCCGAATTTCTCTTCAACAAGAACAAGTTGAGAATCTAATGAAAGATAGTATTGATGATAGCTCACATTTCTTTCTTCATAGTCAACTTGAATCTCCAATCAGTAAAGGACATGGTCAGTGGGATTTTAATGATTCTTCTTTTCTAACTAAACGAGGTATATGTTTTACAACTCCTGGCTTTGTTGCATCACCTCAAATACCAGGACAAAATTTCATTAATAATCAAACATTAGATTGCACTGCTGCTTCCTTATCACCATTTCCTAGTTTAACAAGGTCACCTGCTAAAGAAGATTTATATTCTAAAGTTATAAAGCCAGAAAACCGACAAAAACAAAATGTATCAAAACCTCAGGCAGTTGCTTCTGTGTCAAATAAAATTCACTCAGAAAATATTCCAGTCATATCATCTCATGATCCTTCAAAATCAAAGTCTTCAAATGAACAATTAATAAAAGCAAAGCCTACAACTGAAATACATGTTGTGTTACCTCAAGTGCCAGATAACAACAAACTTGAAGAACCAGATCTTCATAAAAAGTCTAAAGATGATAAACAAGGCTTTTACATTCCTATTGAAAAAGACACAAAGAAAACAAAATCTAAAACATTTAGGAGCATGAAACCTGCATTAGAAATTGATGTGCCAAAGCAAGTAAGTGACCAAATGGTGCCAACCGATGTTCCAGAAGATACTAGTTCATTTGGTTTTGTTATTGGTGCAGATTTGGTGCATCCTGATCCGGTATGTTTTTCATTTACCTTTTATTCCTTTAAAATTCTTAATGCTAAAATAATACAACTATTTTGGAAGTGAATATTATGAAATATTTTACTGTATTTCAGATAATTTGATGTACTTAGATGTAATCTATAGATATTTTACACTTTTACATACATAAGCTTATGTATTTTCTAATGCCTGTAAGAACTTATATTTATTATTCTTTTATAGTGTGCATTCATAAAAAATAATTAATAGTAAGGTGAATTAGACCACTGAGAATGAATGAGAAGTTAATGTAGTCAAGATCATTTTTCAACTTTTTTCTGTTTGTGATTCCAAATGATTAAACAAAGTATATAAAATGAGAGGAACTTAAATTTGTATTAGTATGCTATATAGAAGTTTTCCATTCTAAAGAACATTATTAGAAAATTTTTCTTTAACGTCAGAGGATTGGGAAGTATTTCTAAGAGGGAAAGTTTATTAAAAGTGATGCAAGTAACATTTAACAACATAAACCACAAAGAACATCGAAAGAGGAGGAGATTACAATGATCTGTAATAAATATATTAAGCATATTTTCAAATTAATTATACCTCACTACAGAAGGAGTTTTCTTTGCATAATACATATAATTTACCTCAATTCTATCATTTTCTTGGTTTGCAGAGTTCAGTAATTAATGTATGTATTCAGATAGTAATATTTTTTAAAATGTATATATTGATTGATTTTATTGGCAATTATCTTATGCTAATCAGCACATTATTTTCGAGGACATATCAGTTAGTAAAAACTATCTGGAGCCTTCAGAAATATTTTCCTTTCAGTCATGTGAGTGGAGACTGAAATGCAAAGCTTGATGCTTCAGCAACAAGAGATCAGTTAGTCAACTGAAACGTAAAAGGTTTTTCATCTTTGAAGGAAATAAAGTTTATACACATCTTTAAAACTCACTAAACTAGTATAATTTCATAAAAATACTTACCTGACTTCTTAGGTTAGAAAATTTAACAAGCAAGAACTTCATATCTGGGGTAAATTTTTAAGCAAACTTTTAAAGTTTTATTTCAGAATTTTAAAAATCAAGACTTGGGGGAACTATCCTGTTTCTGTTATATATTTCAGCATGACATTTTATATTCTTCCCTTTTAAATACATGCTTACATCTCAGTTAGTCTTTTTGAATTTTGATTATTTTTGTAACTGAATCAAGTTTTCTGTCCTTTAAGATATTTTGCCACAGTTCATATTAAATCTAAACTATGCAACTTAGAAATAGTATCTTACTGCCAATTTTGTGAATTCTGTATCATGCTGAAGAAACTGAAATTGTAGATGTTCTTATTAAAGTAAAAAAGGGGAACATTCGCCCTTTAAACATAAATCAAATTTGGAAATCAGAAATTGATGAGCAATTACTTATTCGACATAAATGACAACATTAAGATTTGATGGCCTTGCAAGCACTGGTTTGCTGAATCCTTTAAACAATCTTTAATCACTTTGATAATTTATGTCAATGCTTCTTAAACGTTTTTCATTCGTGACCCCTTTTTGTCATCAAGATTTTATTAAATATAAAACAAAGACATGACAATAAATATTTTACCGTAGAATAATTTATTTTGTTGGTAAACAAAGTAATAGTTTTAAAATCTGTGTCAAGTGTGCAAAAATTAATGAAGGAAAATCACATTTACGTCATTTATTGCTGCCTAACCAATGAAATGGTGCTGTACTTTAAATTACTGAACATAAAGCATCTTCATTGTTTTTTGCCATCGAGCTATATTTGGAAAAAGCTGGAAAATGTTATTTAACATACGCATGTAATGCTGAATGCAGAAGAACATTTCATGCCATTTAAGAAATTGCGGGAAATTCAGTTCTAACTCTGATTCGCAATTCAGTCAAGGATTTTTGTAGAAACGCAAGTTTTAAGTTGGAGTCACTCGATCACTTTACAGATTCCTCTTGAGCTTTATATGCAAATGGTGAAACTCATCAGTGTGAGTCAAAAATGGCTTTTGAATCAAAAATAACTTTTAAAAATCTAAACTGAAAGATCACAAGACTGGACACCCTTACGCAGTTAAATTTCACAAGATCTAATTCTATCATCCCTTTCAGGAAATAGTTCTTTAAACCCATCTGACTTCTAATTACAGCATTTCACTTCTAACGACACCCTTATCCAGTGTTGAATTTCACAAGATCTAATTCTGTCATCCCTTCCAAGAAATAGTTCTTTAATCGTATCTGACTTCCAGTTATAGTGTTTCACATTATCTTCTTGTACAACATCCTTAATTTTAAACGTAAGAGTTTAAAATTAAGTTTTTTTGAAGTTTTTGAAAACATGACTGATCTTAATTCTAGCAAATATTCTGTATAAAACCTTTTCCAAAAATGCTGTAATAGTAATTGTCTATGTTTCCATCTTTTAATCAACTGATATCCTGTGGATTCTAATTTAGATTCAGGTAAAACAGTTAGTCAGGATCCAGTCATAAAATGAGATGGTATAAAAGAGTTATCAGGTTCATTATATACATAGATTATAGGTCTAGAATTGATTAACAGCTTCAACTTCAAACATTACACAATTCTTCATAGGATAAAGGTAGCTTTGCCTAAGCTACCTTTTAAACAAGTTTTTACAGATCTTACCAAACATTCCTGAATCTGCCGCACCAAGGAGCACCTTCTACAATAAATTTCCAAATTAGAACTTTTTTGTCTTTGCACAATTTATATAAATACTTTAATTCACGATCTGCAGTTTTAAAGGTCTTAGCATAGTCAGAATAAATAACTGTACAGATACCTCTAGGTGCAAAAAATCAATGCAATGTTTGAGTAAAACACTCTGTACTTAAATTTGCTACTAATTCTAAATGAACTCCCCGAGTCACTGCCCACGTAAACAATAAAATACAGTCAAAAGTCTTTAATCCGGACTCGTCGGAACTTCGGCAATTCCGGATTATCCGTTTTTCCAGATTATAAATCATCAGTTTAAATCTGGTAAGATGCCATGCAGAAATTATAAAATTTAAAATATGAAACCATAATTTATGAAATAAAGAGCAATTATGATCTAAAGTGTATCAAAATTTATAACAAAAAAAGCTTAATATTTATTTGTTTACTTTATTAAACATTTCTTCCAACACACGCATGCGTAAAGCATAGATTATGCATAGTCGAAATTAGAAAATTGCAACCAGAAAACTATTTGATTTGTATTCGTGATATTTATAATGACGAGGAATTTGATTTAAATCATATCAAAGACGGAGTACATCGAGATGAAATACTACATTTAGTAAGGAATTATAAGCCGAATAAAATAAAAACATCTGCCCTAAAGTTAAGAATAGTGCTGACAGATCAATTTCCAATTCATTGCACGCCGCGTCGTAGATCCTTTGGCAGCTCCAGAATCGGAAGTTCTTTTTGACATAATCGAAAGTTCAAGCTTACTTTTTATAAAATTGCTCTAACAGTCTGCAAAAAATAATAAGCTGGATCTAATTAGAAGATTAAGGAACAACGCAATCTGCAATGTTAACTGAAATAGATAGATAATTTTAGCTTAGCTTATACCATCCGTTATACATTAAACGCGCATGCGTAATGGTATCATGCGCATGCGTAGACGCATTACGCGTTTATGCATGCGCAGAAAGTTTGTAGCTTTGAGGTCCGGATTATAGATTATTCCGGATTAAAGACTTTTGACTATGCGTATTATGCACATGAGTAAACGCATATGTGCATGCGTAAAGGTATTACGTGCATGCATAGACACATTATGCATTTATGCATGCACAGAAAGTTTGTAGCTTTGAGGTTCGGATTATAGATCATTCCGGATTATGGATGTCCAGATTAAAGACTTTTGACTGCATACAACTTTTGTACCATCTTTTCAGTACAAAGTCCAGCAAAAATCTACCCCACTTATCAAATATTCAAGCTTTCTCCATTCATTCAGCAGGAAGAGGAGCTGATATCTCATGTACAGCTCTAGCATTATACTTTTTACAACGTCTACAATCGTATAGCACAGATTTTACAAATTGTCCAGCTTTTAAAATCCAAAATTTCCACTTTACTTCCACTAAAGTTTCATTTACACCACTATAAAGACACTTTTTATGACAGTTAAAAATAATTATTTAGTAATATTATAGGTTGAATTTCATAGACACTAATGATGATTTTACTAATCTACTCCCAGCTCTTAACAACCCTTTTCATCAATTATTGTATTTAAACCAAACATTTTGGAATTTGGATGCTAGGGTTCTTTATATTTAACATCATTCAGTTCTGCAAAAAAAAAAAAAAAAAAAAAAAAAAAAATACTTTGTGTTAACTTAATCCAATAACATGTAGCATTACATATTTCATTTTGGTCACAGGACCAGTCACTGTATTTTGTGACTTTAAATTGTCTATGATTTAAGTATAAATGATGTTACTCTTAGAAGTTTCCCTAAGTCACCAAAGTTCTCTATCTTTAACACGGGTTGTAAAGGCTGAACACTGCTGGTAACTTGAGTTGTAACTCTCTCTTCACCAGCGTCCATTATCTTACAATGCTCATGCATTTTAGACCATTTTATTTCATCTTTATGTAGCCACAGACGTCCATGCCACCATCACTCGGATCTACTACAAGCTCATTCACTTTAACACTACGTGTGATTTTGTCTGCAGGATTGTCTGATCGAGGACAATGATACCACATATTTGTGATTTTGTACGAATATTTTTCATCTCCTTGATGAGTTCTTCAGTGAATCAGTCCAGAAATGAATCTTTGCGTGAGGAAAATACATATGGATTATAAGTCTTGTACTTGACACTACTGTCACAAATTCGAGTCTTGGTAAAGATAATTTATTGAGAAGAGCCGCTGTGCTTTTAGCTGTCACTAAACTTGCTCCAGAACATTTAAAGCTGTGGAATTTCATGTACACTGCTAATTCAGTAAGCTTTTTG